ATGATCATTTCCTACGCATCAAAGTCATTCCGTGGAAATCCGCGGAATGTGACATTGAAGTATGGGCAGTTCCGTACAATGTTGTCATTGATTCAGGAACAGTTGTTTTGGCCATATCACCGAGGGTAGTGGAAAAGGCAGGGCGACAGAAAGATCTGATCACGCTAACCGAGAAAGACCATCTCGTCCTGGTGGATGAAGAGAAGATAAAAACAGTGGGAAGAATGACGAATGCCGTTTTTCAGTTGGGAAAGATTCATGCTTTAGGGGATGTGGTAGTATTCGAAGTCAATACCTACGATGTACTTCTGGGATTACTGGCGCTCGTCGCACTACGGGCCAATCTAGACTTCGAACGATGATCGATAGTCCTACAAAGTACAGGCGCAAAACCGTATGTTATTCCAATGTGCCTAACTCTGCGAACCTTGATGCCCACAACTCAGAAAGTTCCTCCGACCCCCGGAGTCGCTCTCCGAGTAATCACCTGGGAATAACCAACTTGGAAAGTCGAGCATGAGGACGAGGGACGTAGTTCCTCGAGCGAATCTGATGGCGAAAATGAAGCTGATCTCGATATAACTCGACAACTGATTCACTATCCAATCCGACAGAGGACTTGAAGTTCCAAAACATTCGTCCTTACGAAAGAAACCTGCAACGAACTCGGGCTTTAATTTTTGGAGAACCCCTCGTACAAGTATCCCGAATGGTTGACTCTTTGGTACCCCCTCGAACCCTGTATGAAGCTACGACCCTACTTCTTTCGAGATACCGAGAGAAGAAGGCGTTCTGTGACATTAAAGGGCTGCCTCATTCCCTATTGTCATCCTATAAGGAGGTGCAATTATTACGCTTAAGGACCGAACGGGAAGCTTTGGAACCCCCTTGATCGCGACGACTCTTCTCTCTACGAGCTCGGGATCAAGATCGCCGAAAAGTCGGTTCCCTTGCAAGACATTAGCGACAGTGTGACCCCGGAGAAACACGTAGCCATCCGAGAAGAAGACGCTCAGATAGTTGCCACCGTGTTCTCCTGGCGGTCAGATATGCTTCCCCTACCGAAACGACCACCGAGCGAGTACGAAGCACGTGACGGTTACCATACACGGAAAGCCGTACGAACTGCATGTGCCCCATTATGTACCCAACAAAACCCATCGATTGATTGTGGATATTTTGACTGAATATCAAAATGCGATTAGCGTAACGGACACGGATATTGGATTGTCTTTAGTTATTCAAAACGAGATTCAGACCGGAACGCATCCCCCGATCCACTGTAAGTCGTACCGATATTCTCTTGCAAAAAGAAAAATTGCACTACAAAGAATCAAGGAGTTTGAGGATAACGGGTGGATCGAACCAGCAACAGGACCTTGGTCATTTCCCGTGGTCTTAGTCCCAAAAAAGAGTGGATCGATTCGCATTTGCATTGATTATCGAAAGTTGAATGACATCATAATCAAGGATGTGTATCCCCTTCCCCAGATTGATGATTTGTTGGATGCGATTGGGTGTGCGAATTGTTTCAGTAAGTTTGATATTCGCCATGGATTTCATCACATCTTGGTTAGAGAGGAGGATCAGCCAAAGACGACCTTTGTATTGTTCGAAGGCACCTGACAGTGAATTCGTTGTCCGATGCACCAGCCACGTTCCAAAGGGCGATGAACGTGACCTTTTAGAATTTCATTAACAAGACCCGACTTACGCAGGGGATGATTAATTTTTGCGTTATTGTGTACATGGATGATATTCTGGTCTATTCGGAATCATTTCACGGGCATGCGCAACATATTGAATGGACGCTGGGAGCACTGCGAGACGCTGGGTTCAAAATTGCACTGGAAAAGAGCGAGTTCTTCCTCTCGGAAATCTCGTTATTGGGTTACGTAGTAACGCGAGGCAGGTTAAGGCCAGATTCGAGAAAGGTCGCGACTGTCCGAGAGGCTTCCATGCCCACGTCATTAACACAGGTTCGGTCCTTTTTGGGACTGGCGTCGTACTACCGCAGATTTATCAAGGGTTTCGTGGCGATCACATGACCTCTAACGAATCTTCTGCGTAAGGACCAGTCCCTACGGTGGGACACCAAGTCCGAGCGGGCCTTTGTCACTTTGAAGGAGGCCCTGATTACTGCGCCTATTTTGATCCGGTTGGACCCGCAAAAGCAGTTCATACTCATTACGGACTGGCAACCTGAATCGATCTCCGCTATTCTAGCCCAGAAGGGTAAAAACGGTCGTGAACACGTTATTGAGTGCGCTTCTCGGACAGTGCCTGACGAGAGGAGAAATGATTCAGCTCCTCATGGAGAGTGTTATGCAGTGGTTTGGGGAATTTAACATTTTCATCCGTATCTCTACGGACAGAAGTTCCTCCTTGTCACAGATCATGAACCCTTACTGACCCTCAAGAGGCCCACCAACAACACGGGTTTGATTGGACGTTGGGCGGTACGATTGCAAGAATAAGATTTCGATATTGTCCATCGGAAGATGGAGAAGCATGGGAACGTTGACGGCTTGACACGTCTGCATTGACCCGACTAGGTGACTAAAGGGGAGGAGATTACCTCGTGGAAGGAACCAGAACCAACCAACGAGCGTTCATACGGACAATTGGCCATCCTTCCTCGAGCTCCTAGGGGGTGATTGACACGATGGGGATGGGATGCGCAGGTAATCCCGAAGGTCCCCTTTCTCCTCTCTCATCCTCCTCCTTTTCCTCCCTGCTTGATAAATTTTGCTATTTTTGTATGGCAATTTCGAGAGTCGACTCGGTCCTTATGCGACCGAGCGGGGAATGTTATGTCGAGTGGGTAGATTGTCAACGATGTGTTTCCCAAGCCCATGGTTCCTGTATACAGTACCAAAGTGCAGACAAACCCTGGTTGTGTCCTCTGTGCCGCACTAATAAAATCCCGACGGAGGCTCGATTTCTCAAAGCCACGTCCGAAGGATTAGAAAAAACCCGGTGGTTTAGAAGGGCTGAAGTTTGGACATATGTCGTCTTGATAGCTACGGTGGTTGGGAACCCCCTCCGAGATTTCACAAAGGAAGATTGCAGATGAGCCAATGAGAGAGCTCCGAGTCCAGATTACGGATGGAATGAGGGACACTTAGAAAAACGGAAAACGGACGGAAGCGGGATTTGGATGTCTGTCCCGCATCCGTCTGTGAGGTACGACTGGGTTAAGTACGAGGAAACTGTGGTGCATTTCGCTGCCCGAATCACGGAGGCGGCGATTGATAAAAATGAGTGGTATTGGTGCAACATTCGTGACGATGTTAAGTTCATCGTTTGAAATTGTCAGATCTGCGCCGCTCAGAAGGCGCCAATTCAGCCGCCTAGGTCGATAGTGCCTACTGTAGTCGAACGACCATTCCAGAGGGTTAGTATGGATACCACCGATATTGTCGTACCCCCTGGACTGAATAGCTATGAGTATTCCATTCTGCTGGTATTCGTCGACCACTTTTCGAAATGGATCGAGGCCTATCCATGCAAGACGCGACAGGCGGCCGAAATCGCGCGGTACGTCAACCGTTTTCTCGGAATGCACCAGGACACGGAGGAGATCCTGACAGATAATGGGGCATAATTTAGAGGGGAAGTCTTGAGGAATCTAGTCTTACACGGTGTCTCCATCCGCAATACTGCTCCCCACATGTCGCAATCCAACAGACTGGGAGAGAACGCCAATCGGGTGATTAAGACCGCCTTGCGACGCAATATCGCGGCAAATGACACGAGGCCTTGGCCCGATATCATGGACCATATCCTGGCTATCCACCGGGGGACACCCCACGAATCCACGGGTCTGACCCCCTTCCAACTACGGACCAATAACCTACCCTGTGTAGCCTTACCGAGCCTAAATGATGAGATGGCCCTTCGGCGACAGACCACTAGGGCGACAATTAAGGATAGGGTCCAACGCCATCTAGAACTGATGGAAAAGGTCCTCCCTCGATTGATCCGAAAAAGACAACGAATAACAGAAATGGCCCATGGGAGACAGGTTCGGAGTTATAAGGCTCGACATGGGAACGTTGGGCCTCGGCCCGAATATAAATTAGGGGACATTGTGTAGGTGAGGAAATGTGCTCGCCAAGGCAAGCTAGCGCCACGATTCTTCGGGCGATTTCGTGTGGTCGAGCTTGGTCTCAGTGGGGTGAAAACGGTGAGGCTTGCGCGGGAGGTGTTGGGGAGTCGATCGGCTCGCCCGATCATTCAACACATGTCCTACCTTCGTCCTCTCCCCTCTTCCCCTTCTCCTCCGTCATCTGCATCGTCCCTCGGTCAAGACGAGGACGACGACTCTCTAGAATCCTCCTTTCTCTCTCAACCATCGTCTTCGACTCCGCCTCCATGGCCATGAGTTTTTCGACAGAGCAGGTGATCAATGAGCATCTCATGACCCCGAGGGGATGTATAGCGATAATCCGGCAGGTACAGCGACCTCGGTTGAGTCCCGATCTCCTTCGATTCGCCGCCTTCTTCAACACAGCAGCCATCCACGCGGCAACAGAGTTCCGTTTTGTACACGCAGGGGCGACGCGTGTACTTGGCGAGATTTCGGCTTTCAGCGCCTGTCCTTGCCCGACGTTAGCCACATATCCGTCATCGTCACTTTCACCGGTGACATCACGGCGTTACACCCGGTGATCCATAAAGACATCTATCAGCAGTTGAGAGGTTGGGCCGAGGAGATCACGGCCACGTGGGTCGAGTTGCTGGCTCGGCTAGGGGAAAGAATTGTGACCACAGACGATATAGACCTCCGACTCCGCACCTCTAACAGCGATTCGGAGATCCTTCTCCTGGAGCTCCTCCTATTTGAGCGGTCCCAATGAACCGTCATCGTCTCTCCCTCTTCAACCTTCCGTCTGATCTCCCCACCTTCGGCAATCTGTGATCGATCCCACTCTCTCTTTCCGAATCCAGGAGCTTAGCGTACCGATTTTGGATGAAGACAAGTGGAATGGGTGGAGGGACGCCTACGTAAAGCTCAACTTTTGTTGGTGTGCGTGGTGTTTCATTGGGCGGAGCCAGCCCCCGAAGCTGAAGGGGGTGAGGTCCCGGACGATGAGGTGGAACTGTTGATCGTGCAAGCTTGACGAACGAGTATGGAGGGAGAATTGTTGGGGATAGTATTTGGCAAGGTGGAGGAAGGACATCTCGAAGCAATCACGGACGAGTTGCTGGTGTTTTTGGCGCAACTGGTGGACGATTTACCTCTCGACATCCTATTGAGGTGTGATGGGAAGTCGGGGAGCGACGTGCTCGCTCGCGCGCTTGCGCCACATCTTCTGTGGTCCACGTGTACGGAGCTGGACGGGGATAACTGCTTTTACCCGTACCCGAGCCTCTACCTCGAGATTGACGTCACTGACCTCACACTGTGGGACCCTTTTATCCGACGGGAAAACGTGTTAGGAGCCAGTGATGAAGAAGAGGAAGAAGAAGAAGAAAAAGAGGAAGAAGAAGAAGAAGAAGAAGAAGAGGAGTCAGAGGAAGAAGAATCGGGCACCGACCGAGACGATCCCGACTACATCGGGTTTGAGGAGGAGGAAGAGGAAAGAGGAACGGGAGAGCCGAGGAGCCGTCCCCTCGAAGCAAAAAGGAAGAGGAAGCTGAAGCGCAACGGAGGCGGGAGAAAACGGAGGGCAAACGACCTGTCGACGAGTCTGAATGGCCGCCACCACAGTTACTGCTGGGCGATCCGTCGATGAATCCGGGGCCACCGCACGAAGAATCCGATGGAACCACAACGGAGAGATCAGGAAGCCGACGCCGCCGAAGGAGTGAATCCCCGGCTCCGTCTTCTCCGCCATCCCGAGCCAGTCTTCGTCTTTGTGGAAATACGGGCGATCGGGCTTCGTCCCCGGTCGTTATCGCGCCGTCCCCTTGACTTCCTCACCCCTCACCAACTCCTGGGCCGACCCCCGTTCCCTGATGGATGGTGCCCTTTCCCGCCCTCTCTCTTCCACCAGTTCTACACCACGTGCCTTCTTATCACCGTCGTCCCCCACGCTACCACCCGCTCCTTCGTCGCCTCCTTTCCTCTCCATGTCCTTCTTTTCAGCGTAAACTAGCGGGAATTTAATAATATCAAAATTTATTGCATTATCTCGGACACAGTTCCTGCCTGTGAAAATTACGAGAATTTCCCTTCTGCTATCCCTCGCACCCTCTCCACCCTCTAGCCCAACTATCTTGCCTCTCTTCCTCATCAACGGGAGCACCCTCGATTCCCCCGCATCCACCGCACCGTCCACTACACCCGCATCCCCACGAGTGACAGGGAAATCCGCCGCTTCGTACCTCCTCTTCCCCAAGTCCATCCATCACCTCCTCCTCCCGTTATCAGATTGCCCTTCCCCGGAAACGTTTGAGGGAGAGCCCACAAATGCCCCGACTGAGTGACTTCTACACTCTTATCTTACGGTATGTGGCAAGTGTGAGCTCAATCCTCGAGATATAGATTGATGCACAAGTGTGTGAGCAAGCGGGAGCTTGCTCAAGATTGGAAACCCCTGGGCGTCACATATGTGACGAACCATAATCACCATTTTCTGTAATTGCGCGACTTTATGCGCGAAGCTGCCTTGAGGAAATAGATGGGTCGGATGAATGAGTAGTGGAAAGATGGGTCGGTTGGACAGATTGCATGGATAACCTCGTTTGTTTTGGTTTTCTGTGGGAATCTATCGGGTCGGTATCGGAAAAGTTCCGCGTCAACGATTGGGTAACCGCGCCTTAGCGAGCGCGAGGGACAACGGTGGCCATGACTTCTTTCAAGTTCTTGTTCTGCTAAGAGCACTAGGAATTTTTGGCGCGATCATCACGGGGGAATATCATTTTTGAATTTTCAACTAACGACGAGCCCCCCACGGGCTCGCGGAATTGTTTTTGGGCTCTTCGAAATTTCTTTTTTGCAATTAGGACTTAGGCTAGGAATTTAGGTACTCTGAATTTTGTTGCGCCGCGCTTCTCACTCACGCGCATCTTGCGACGCTAGGAACTGGGCTCTGACTGAATCACGCCCTTAATCTTGTGTAACTGTCATTTTGGCGGGCGCGATTGTAAATGTATCTTTCTTCTTTCTTGGTTTCCTCGTGTTTGCCCGCCTTCTTCTTCTTGCATGCTTAATGCTCCGTTCTAATTGGCCTAAACGCCTATACGACCGGATCGAAGCGCGGAGTGCGGCTACGACCCCCACGCCGCGGCCTGGCCATGCAGGCATAGGCACTTCTTCTCTTCTTCTCCTGATCGCTTGGGCTTAATCTCGTATCTTTCGCGCAAGCATGCATGCTATAAATTTGGCAAGCGCGATTAGTTTGCTCACTATGAACCTTGTTGTTAGCGCCATCTGTGAGGGTCGGCTAACGAGTCAACTTGAGAGGTGAGTCGACGAGAGAGTTGGGCGATCCGACGAGCTGGTGTTAGGTATGAGGGGTTGACGTGTGGGCCGCGACAGAGTGTGGCGCACAGGCGAACCTGGCTTGCATGCTCAAACCAAGCGGGTTGACCATTCTGTGTTGATGCGCGACGACGTACTGCTCGCATCGGGGAATGGAGAGAGAGAGAGAGAGAGAGAGAAAGAGAGAGAGAGAGAGAGAGAGAGAGAGAGAGAGAGAGAGAGAGAGAGAGA